GCTCCAGCCCCTATCTTTAATTTGAAGGCCACGCTGGCGATGCTCAGGGGTCACTCCTGGCTCTGCACTCAGGATTCAGTCCTGGTGGTGCTGGGGAAATCGAACCTGGCAAAAGCCCTACCCGCTGCGCTGTCGCTGGGAGGTCCAGATGGCCAAGGCCCCCCCCCCACCCCGGAGGTCCCGCAGCCCCCAGACCTGCAGCCCACCCGCGCTGCCCCTTCCTGGAGCTGGAGGCAATTGCGGCCAAAGGGGGCCCCCAGGCTCACGCACTCACACTTTGCGACCCCTGCGCCCCAGAACAGATCCCACTGCACTGACCAAAGCTCCACCGCTCCTGAGAAACCCCCTGAATATTGGGTAACAAGTGAAAAACAGGCGCTGGCCCCTGCCACTTACGGTGAGGAGACCGGAAGGTGTGGTGCGCTCATGGGGTGTGTGTGTGGGGGGGGGGGGCGTTCTGCCACGAAAATCGGCCTTCAGAATTCCCCTTCCACGCAGGGGCCCTACTTTGCCCATAACCCACGTGGCCAATGGCAATCTGATCCAGTGTCTTGAATATAAGCATCAGGAAAGCCCCTTCCTTTCCACAAACAGCCTTCAAGGGCCAGACTCCAGATGTGCAGAGAACCATCAGACCAATGCAGTTAAATGTGTCCTACAAGGGGAATGAGCTCACATATAAAGGAGTGGAGAGGCAGCTGCTGGAGTGGTCGGTCACACAGTGAGGGCTGCGGCATAAGAAGTCCCCTGATCCTTTTGATTGAAGGCATAACTGGCAGGTAGGCTGTGTGTGGGAAACAGGACAATGAGTTTCTCCGGGAAGGAATTGGGATGGGCTGAAAGCAGTGACTCCAAAGCCAGCCCTGGAGATGCAGAGAGGAACTGGCCACAGTTAACTTACAAGTTAACTTACAAGTTAACACCAGCCCACAGAGTCAGAGAGATGCTGAACGGGAGTAAAGCTGTTAAGATCAGAGAGCACTGTCTGGTCAATGCTCTGCCCTTGACAACACATGATCAGTAGACTTTTACCTACAAGGAAATCCCTAGAAGCAGTTTCACAAACATGATTTCAAACCCAGAGTGTGGGGCCAGAGGGGGAAGTCCACTGGGCTGGGCGCTTGCCTTGGCCTCTCAGTTGACCTGGGTTCCATCCCTGGCATCCCAAATGGTGGCTGGAGAAAGGCCAGAAATAATCCTTAAGAATTGCCAGGAGAGGGCTCGAGCAATAGCACAGTGGGTAGGACGTTTGCTTTCCATGTAGCTGACCCGGGTTCGAATCCTAGCATCCCATATGGTCCCCTGAGCACCACCAGGGGTAATTCCTGAGCGCAGAGCCAGGAGTAACCCCTGTGCATCACCAGGTGTGACCCAAAAAAGAAAAAAAAAAAAGAATTGCCAGGAGTATACCCAAACAAAAAAAATTTAAGTAAAATCTGTGTATTGACCAACCCTAAGATGAAAACATACATTGAGCTAACGGGGAACAAACCATACTGGTCATTTTGTAATCTTGCACGGATTTTTGGACAGATCTCAATGATGTTTATCATTCTGGTGAATATTAAATTATTGGGATTTTACTGCTTCCAAAGCAAAAGTTTGATCTTTTATCCCGCATACTACTGAATTGAGGGCAGAGGAATCCAGGTATGTAACTGCCCTTAACTGTTCTGTCATCATACCTGAATTGAATTGCCTACTGAGGGGGGGGGGGGGCTGGAGCAATAGCACAGCGGTAGGGCGTTTGCCTTACAAGCGGCCAACATGACCGACCCAAGTTCGATTCCTCTGTCCCTCTCAGAGAGCCTGGCAAGCTACTGAGAGTATCTCGCGCGCACGGCAGAGCCTGACAAGCTACCCGTGACATATTCGATATGCCAAACGCAGTAACAACAAGTCTCATGATGGAGACATTACTGGGCCCGCTCGAGCAAATCAATGAACAATGGGAGGACCGTGATACCGCGACCCTGATACTGAGGTGGGGAAGTGTAGAGTAGGGAGATCTCCCATGTTTTCACAACGTTTTTTTTTTTTGCTTTTTGAGCCACATCCAGCGATGCTCAGGGGTTCCTCCTGGCTCTGCATCAGGAATTACTCCTGAGGTGCTTGGGGGACCATCGGGGATGCCGAGGATTGAACCTGGTTGGCTGCCTGCAAGGCCAATGCCCTAACTGCTCCAGCCCCCATGTTTCCACCATTTGTAAAACATTTGACTCAAGGGGCCTCTTTTGGGGGGGGTGGAGTGATAGTACAGCAGCTAGGACATTGGCCTTGCACACGGTGAACCTGGCTTCAATCCTCAGCATCCCATGTGGTCCCCTGAGCAATGCCATCTGTAATTCCTGAGTGCAGAGCTAGGAGTAACCTCTGAACATCGCCGGGTGTGACCTCACCCCACAAAAAAAAAAGGTGGGGGCCCCTTCCAGCATTTCAAAGAACCAGCAGATGTCTTTCTATGCCCAATAAAGTCCCATTTAAACTGTCTCCAGGGGCTGGAGTGATAGCACAGCCGGCAGGGCGTTTGCCTTGCACGCAGCCAACATGACCAACACAGGTTCGATTCCCAGCACCCCATATGTTCCCCTGAGCACCGCCAGGAGCAATTTCTGAGTGCATGAGCCAGGAGTAACCCCTGAGCATCGCCGGGTGTGACCCAAAAAAGAAAAAAAAAATAAACTGTCTCCAATCCACCCTATTAAAGAACCTTGAACTATTAAAGAAGCAAGTCAGGAAAGAACCACTTTCCTAACTTGAGACGTTCTGGAATATTTATCCTTAATGTTTACATAACTCTAATGAAACCTAAATACGGGGACAGCAGAGATGCTACAGCAGGTAAGGGCTTGCTTGCAAACGGCTGACCTGGACACCAACCCCAGGACCTCATAAAGTTCCTGGAGTCCTCCAAATTATGGTCTCCTAAGCAGAATAAAGCCCAAGCACAGCAGGATGTGCTCTCCAGAACATAACACCGGAGGGCCTGAAGAATGCAGGTGTGTCTGTTTTTCTAATTTCAAAGGATTCACTGCAGTTTTCTGTGTTTTTTTTTTATTTTGTTTTTTTGCTTTTTAGGTCACACCCGGCAATGCACAGGGGTTTCTCCTGGTTCGTGCACTCAGGAGTTACTCCTGGTGGTGCTCAGGGGACCATATGGGATGCTGGGAATTGAACCCGGGTCGGCCGCGTGCAAGGCAAACGCCCTCCCCGCTGTGCTCTCTCTCCAGCCCTGCAGTTTTGTTTGATCGCTGCCATCAACCCTTGCAAACTATGGACTCTGAGCCAAGCCAGAGTCAGAGCAAAGAATGAGACAGTGGTGAGCCGTGACAGCCTGAAGGAAAGGGCTCTTTTGGGTACCAGTTTATTGGGTTTTTATTTAATCACCTCCCTCCTGGCTTCCATCACCAAGACCTATTACTTACAAGTTAACATACATTTGAAGTCCAAATGCCGGGACACTGGCATAGACACAGCCCAGGTGGTAATCACCAAGTACCTTTCCCTTACATACTGACGTCACGGGAAACTTGTCACACGCTACCAGGACTATTTTCTTCTCGAGTCTACTTTTGTATCACCCTCCATCTCTCTGTCCAAACAAAACATGCTTTACTGAGGGGGGCCTGTTTTTACCACGAGGTTTGATATTAGAGGATGGAGTCACCTAGTATGAAGTTTACAATGTCTCTGAAGGGCTGAGCGGAACACAAAGGCCTTCCCACATTCTTGACATACATAAGATTTCACTCCGGCATGTGTTTTCCTATGCCTCGTCAGACCTGAGGATTCAATAAAGGCTTTTCCACATTCCTTACATATATAAGGTTTCTCTCCAGTGTGGATTCTCATATGTACAGTAAGGCCTGAGGACAGCGTGAAGGTCTTCCCACATGTCTTACTGATAAGGTTTCTCTCCACTGTGAATTTTCTTGTGATTAGTAAGGCACCCAGCATTAGTGAAGGCCTTCCCACATTCCTTACAGATAAAAAGTCTCTCTCCAGTATGCGTTTTCATGTGTCTCGTGAGGCCCGAGGAACGCACGAAGGCCTTCCCACATTCCTTACAAACATAAGGTTTCTCGCCAATATGAGTTTGCTGGTGATTACGAAGAGTTGAGGAACGACCAAACGCCTTCCCACATTCCTTACATACAAACGGCTTCTCTCCACTGTGAATTTTCATATGCTTAGAAAGGCCTGAGGACAGAGTGAAGGCCTTCCCACATGTCTGACACTGATGAGGTTTCTCTCCACTGTGAATTTTCTGGTGCTTAGAAAGGCCCCCAGACTGAGAGAAGGCCTTCCCACATTCCTTACAAACATAAGGTTTCCCTCCAATATGAATTTGCCGGTGACTACGAAGATTTGAGGAACGACCAAACGCCTTCCCACATTCCTGACATACAAAAGGTTTCTCTCCGGTATGGAACGTCCGATGCTGACGAAGGTTGGACGCACGGATGAAGGCCTTCCCACATTCCTTACATGCAAACGGTTTCTCTCCAGTGTGAATCCTCCTGTGTACAATCAGTCTGTAGGATCTAGTAAAGGCCTTTCCACACTCCTGACATACATAAGGCTTCTCCCCGGAGTGACTTTTCACATGCACGGTCAGGGTCGAGGATCGAGTGAAGGCCTTTCCACATATCTCACATTTATGAGGTTTCTCTCCAGTATGAATTTTCTTGTGTTCAGAAAGGTAGGAAAGCAGAGTGAAGGCCTTCCCGCATTCCTTACATTTATGAGGTCTCTCTCCACTGTGAGTTTCCCGATGTCTAATAAGGACTGACGGGCACCGGAAAGCTTTCCCGCAGTCCTCACATATATAAGGCCTTTTTCGATGGGTTTTTCTGTGATTCAAAAGGTTTGAGCAACTGGTAAAGGCCTTCCCACATTCCTTACATATATATGGTTTCTCCTCATTCGTGTGCAGAGAACCGCTTGAGCAGTCAGCAAAGACCTTCCCGCAGTCCTCATGAGAATAGGCTTTCTCTCTTTCATGCCTTTTCCTGTGACAAGAAAGGTGTGCGTAGAAAGTGAAGGCCTTCCCGCAGTCCTGACACGAGTAAGGTTTCATTCCCGTATGAGTTTTCCTATGTACAGAAAGGCCAGCAGAGTAGAGAAATGCCCTGCCACATTCCTCACACACGTAAGGTTTCACTCCAGCGTGGATTTTCATGTGATTACTAAGATTCACGGAATACACAAAAGCCTTCCCACACTCCTTACAAACAAACAGCCCCTGTCCAGTGTGACGTTTTCTGTGCCGACAAAGGCTTGAGCAGAAAGTGAAGGCCTTCCCGCAGTACTGACATGAATACGGTTTCACTCCCGTGTGAATTTTCCGATGGGCAGAAAGGTCCGAGGCACAGAAATACGCCTTCCCGCATTCCTCACACACGTAAGGTCTCACTCCAGTGTGAATTTTCATGTGATTACTAAGACTCACGGAATACACAAAAGCCTTCCCACACTCCTTACAAATATGTGATCTCTGTTCGTTGTGACTTTTTTTGTGCCCGCAAAGGCTTGGGTGGGAACTGAAGGTTTTCCCACAGTCCTGACACGAATAAGGCTTTTCTCCAGTATGCATCTTCCTATGTTCAGAAAGCTCTGAGAAGGAAAGGAAGGCCTTCCCACAGTACTCACACAGAGGAGGTTTCTGTTCGGAATGAAGTTTCCTGTGTAGTCTAAGGCTTGAGGGCTGAGTAAAGGCCTTCCCACATTTCTTACATGCATACGGTTTCTCTCCGGTATGAAGTCTGCGATGGATAGTAAGGTATGCGGATCGACTGAAGGCTTTCCCACATTCTTGACACGTATACGGTTTGTGTCCTGTGTTCACATGGTCATGCTGGGATGACACTGGACTCAAAGTTTGTCCTCTCTGCTGACATTCCTGGGGATTCTGTCCACTGTGGTTTTCTAAGGGAACATCACGGTGCCAAGGACACGGGAAGGTTCCCCCACATTCCTTACACTTGGACGGGTTTGTTCCGCGGTGACTTTGCTTGTGGGTCTGTTGGTGTGAGGGATCTCCTCTCCCACCAATCAGGGGCTGTTCCTTTGGGGAGGTTTGTGTCTGCGGACTGAGCAGAATAGACTCCAAAGAGTTTTTCTCAGGGGAGGGCTTCTTTGGAGTGAGGACACTCACTTCCTTCTGATCACCGTCAGAGGACATCCCGCCGGTCTTGGGATCCCCATGGGGCTGAGGACACAACTGCTCATGTGAGACTTTGTCACGGTGCACAGGATCAGAGACATTCCACCCAGGCTGTCTGCTTCCCTGTAGAACAACAGAGAAGGACTTCAATTATTGCTCTATGCCGGTTGAGTCTCCAGGTCCAGAAAATTCGAGCCTTGCAAGTTGGTTTCTAACATATCCCCACATGAATGCAATTCCCTACACGTGTATGGATTTTTCAGGTAACAACCTGATCTTTCTGCATGATGGACACCCAAAATTGACCAATGCGGGTGATCATTAAGTTATATAAAGTTTTTTCTTCAACTCAAAAAACAGACACTGTCCTGTCACTGTCCTCCCGTTGTTCATCGATTTACTCGAGCGGGCCCAGTAACGTCTCCATATTGAGACTTCTTGTTACTGTGTTTGGCATATTGAATACTCTCAGTAGCTTGCCAGGCTTTCCAAGAGGGGCGGAGGAATCAAACCCGGCTGAGCTGGGCTGGCTGCGCACAAGGCAAACGCCCTACCACTATGCTATTAAGTGGAAACACAGACACATTAAGTGGAAATAATTCCTGCTGCAGATAACTGAAGCCATCAATTCAAATGAAAATCAAAGACACCCGAGTGTGGGTTCAGTTCTAGCTCAGTGTGGAGCCCGGGATGTGTGTGTGAGGGCAATGCTGCATCCCCACACAACTGAGACGGACCACGGGGGCCACTGAAAACATCTCACCACAAGTGGATTCCTCCCCAGGATCAATGAACTTTTTGTTTTCTTGCTTGGTATTTATATTGGGGCATAGGGTGGGTCACACAAAGCACTGCTCAGGGTTCACTGCTGCTGGGGTTGTGGCGCACAGGTTTCCTTCCCGGTGCCAAGCAAGTGTCCTACTAATGCACTACCACTAGTGCAGACCATCGAGTTCTTTTCAACAGTCAACACTTGTGCTTACTGTCTATCAGATGTAAAATCACAGTATTTCCCCGGTATTAAAAATAAGAGAATTTGGAAGGGGGGCGTTCCTGGCTCGTCCTTCATGCCCTACCGAGGTCACCAGTTGCCCCCACGAGCAGCTCTCTGGCACGGCCATGGCTCCAGAGCACAGAAACCAATCTCTTAATTATCTGACTCTCAGCAGAAATACTTCCAGGCTTAATAAGTAACATACCAGAAATCCAAAATCGCGCGGCCGCTATCACAGCCACCCGACATCATTTAATTCTTGTGACCAGCTGCAGAAAACAAATTATCTCACAACGCCTTTTCAGCATGTCTGATTTGGGGGTGTAAACTCTAAATAATAATGGTGCATCTTTTATCGAAACAATGAATCTAGTAAAAGTAGATAGTGTATTAACTAGAATTCATCTGCCTCACAGGCATTGGGAGGGCTGGGGGTGGGTGGGGGTTTATTGGGGTTCTTCGTGGTGAAAAATAAGTATTGGTAAAGGGAAATGTGTTTGATATTTGCATGACCGAGACCTAAACCTGAAAGCTTTGTAACTTTTCCTACAGTGATTCAATAAATAAAAAATAAAAAAAAATAAGAGCATTTCTTTAGGTTTTAGAATTACTGATTTTATGCAACAATAGGGTTGGAACTGGAAGATACTGTGTTGACTGAAGTGAGCCAGAAGAAACAGAAACAGGATGGTGTCACTCATCTGTGGAATGCAGAATACTGGATGCAGAAATGTACTGTAAAGGGGGAGCTTAGATCATCCCTGATCCCAGTGTTTAGAGAGGAGCCGGACAAAGAAGGAAAGAAATCTGGGGCAGAAGAGGACCAGAAGATTACTGGCATCAGGGTTTCATTTATGCCAGTGACATGAGTGAGGGGTGTAGCCATTTATCCAAAATACAGATGCAACAGAACTGAAAACATGAACGGCAACCACTGAATCTTTGTCATGCATGTGCCTGTCCAGGTTGGGGGGGAGCAGAGTGTTGGCGGGGAGACTGAGGTGGGGGAGGGAATCTGGGAACACTGATAGAAGGAAGTTGACACTGGTGTAGGGATTGGTGTTGAATTATTGTATGCCTAAAGCACAACTATCAGCAACGTTGTAAATCCTGGCTCTTAAATAAAAACTTAAAAAAAATAATACGATAAAATTAATTTTTCTGATTTCAGCACCCAATGAGGTTAAAGACCCTCTAGTCCCAGCATTAGGCTCTGATATTTTTCCTGCAGTGCTGAGACCATAGATGTGGTGGCGGGGATGAAGCCTGGACCCCACCTTTCAAATCACATGGTTAGTCCACTAAGCATCCGACCATCATCATCATATTATTGTATATTATTATTATATTACATAACGTTATTATTATCAAATCTTACCAGCTGACTTGTATGCAATGACCTTGTTCCCAAATAAAATTTCTGCAGTGCCATGTCCTGAAGCTGTGATTTAAGTTCTGAAATCAAACACAACATACCATATAAGAATTAAATGAATGGGGGGCTGGAGCAATAGCACAGCGGGTAGGGCGTTTGCCTTGCACACGGCCGACCCAGGTTCGATTCCCAGCATCCCATATGGTCCCCTGAGCACCGCCAGGGGAAATTCCTGAGCGCAGAGCCAGGAGTAACCCCTGTGCATTGCCGGGTGTGACCCAAAAAGCAAAAAAAAAAAAAAAAAAAAAAAAAAAGAATTAAACGAATGTCAAATGGATTGTACTTGAATAGGTTGAGAAGGTGGAAGACATTTCTATGGTTCTCACAGTCCAAACAGGCCCACAGAAAAGGAAAATTTGCTTGGAGGATCACTGGGAGGAGCTTGGCAATCCCCAAACTAGGTTTTGGGTTTTGTTTTTGATCAGACACAGTGATGCTTAAGACACCATTTGGAAAGCCAGACATTGAATGTAGGAGGCATATGCCAGGCAAGCGCCCTCCTTGCTTTTCTTTCAGCCCACAGTAGCTTTGTTATGGGCTCACGTAATTTTAACATACACACAAAAAAAAGCATTTGTTGGGGCTGGAGAGATAGCACAGCGGGTAGGGCGTTTGCCTTGCACCTGGCCGACCCGGGTTCGATTCCCAGCATCCCATATGGTCCCCTGAGCACCGCCAGGAGTAACTCCTGAGTGCAGAGCCAGGAGTAACCCCTGAGCATCGCCGGGTGTGACCCAAAAAGCAAAAAAAAAAAAAAAAAATTTGTTGGTGGGTACAACAGGTAGGCATTTGCCTTGCATGAGGTTGACAGGGTTTGAATCCTGAGCACCATCGAAAGTAACCTGAGTATCTCCAGGAATAAATGCTGAGTATCCCGGGGTGGAAAAAAAGAGGAAATTATAAATTTCTTTGTATACTCAGAAAGCAAAAGCAAAGATAAGCATGATGTCAGAGTGGGCAGAGCAGGGTCCAGTGCTCCGAAAGGCATCTGACCCTGTATGTGTACAGCCAGGCTGGTTATACAGCCGGGGGAACAAGGCCATGAATCCCATGGACTATTGTACACGCCTGACAGATGAGGAAGAATTAACGACAAAGCCACAAAAGCAAAGTGCTGTATCATTCTGTGACGGACAGTCCAGGGGAGTGAACGGCAGCATGAGTACAGCACAGACGCCTGGATCCAGCAGCCTGAGGTCCTCGGGGTTAGCAGAGCGTTTCACACGTGCTCAGGGCACCGCACCAACACACTGCCCAGATTCCAAGCCAGGGAGGGTCCCAAGACACTCACCTGCACACATATGTCTTTTCCCGGGACTCAAGGCTCCTCCTTCCAGCCAGGAGATCATCGCAGGCTTCACCCCGGAATGCCCTGCTCCCAGAGACAGAGGCATGGATTACTGACAAGGATTAGTGACAAGGAAAAGGCGACAGGACAATCCCATGCGTCCCTGATATAACCAGGCATACTACTGAAAAGGCACAAACATAATATCCACTTTTTTTTTTTTTTGCTTTTTGGGTCACACCCGGCGATGCTCAGGGGTTACTCCTGGCTCATGCACTCAGGAATTGCTCCTGGCGGTGCTCGGGGGACCCTATGGGATGCTGGGAATCGAACCTGTGTTGGCCATGTTGGCCGCGTGCAAGGCAAACGCCCTACCCGCTGTGCTATCGCTCCAGCCCCCATAACATCCACTTTCAATATGCTGCAGATTGGTGGTGATAGTCATTAAGACCAAGATTTCAATTGAAGAGTGAAATAAGGGGGTTCCGGATAATACGGCAAATAGTCTAGGCCTGGCCCTGCAGATGGCCGACTTGAGATGGATCCCAGCACTGTATGTAGTTTCATTTTGGGCGATGCCATCTGGTGATGCTCAGGGGGTTAATCATGTGTCCACACTCAGGAATCACCTCTGGTTGTATTGGGGCCTACAAGGAGGGCCAGTGATTGAACCTGGTTGGCTGTGCGTAAGGAAGCACCCTCCCCACTTACTTTCTCTTGCCCCGGAATCGTATGGAGTTTCTGAGTCCCTCCTGGAGTGATCACTGAGTGCAGAGTCAGGAGTAAACCCAAACACTCAAGCAAGTTCAAGGACAGCAAGCACTCTAATTTTATTTTAAGCTAAAATAAAAGGGGAAGATGGGGGGGGTAGCAGATTGTACAGCAGGTGGGGCAATGGTCTTGCCTAAGTCAATCCAGGTTCGATCCCCGACATCCCCACACTGTCCCCCACCAGCCAGCAGCCAGGATGATCCCTGAGTGCAGAGCCTAGAAGCAAATCCTAAGTCCTGCTGGGTTGACCCAAATTTTATTTTATTTTATTTTATTTTATTTTTTTTTGGATTTTGGGTCACACCCGGCGATGCACAGGGGCTACTCCTGGCTCATACACTCAGGAATTACTCCTGGCGGTGCTCAGGGGACCACATGGGATGCTGGGACTCGAACCCAGGTCGGCTGTGTGCAAGGCAAACGCCTTACCCGCTGTGCTATTGCTCCAGCCCCCCAAAACAAATTTTAAAAAACTCAGGGGCTGGAGAGATAGCGCAGAGGGTAGCGCGTTTGCCTTGCACGCGGCCAACCCGGGTTCTATTCCCAGCATCCCATATGGTCCTTTGAGCACCGCCAGGAGTAACTCCTGAGAGCAGAGCCAGGAGTAACACCTGTGCATCGCCAGGTGTAACCCAAAAAATCAAAAAACAAAAAAAAAACAAAACAAAAAAAACCAACAACAACAAAAAAACAAATTTTAAAAAACTGTGAAAGAGTCCAATGGAGGCAGAGCATAGGTTTGGGGAACATTATGTGGGAACCTCTGACTTGATGCCGGGCATCACCTGATCTTCCAAAAGCACTTAAATTGACCACAAGCCCTGAAAGAGAACAGTGGCTACGTGGGTGAGGTGGTAACGAATAAATGATCTTAGGGGCCGGAAAGATGGCACAGCAGGAAGGGCATTTGCCTTGCATGCAGCCCACCAGGGTTCGATCCCTGGCATCCCATATGGTCCCTGAGCACAGCTAGGAATAATTCCTGAGGGCAGAGTGAGAAATAACCCCTGAACACCACTGGGTTGGCCCAAAAGCCCAAAAGTAAATGAAAAAAAAATTTAAAAATTACAAATAAACAAATTTGACTCACACTTACAAATTATTATTCAAGTTAATTCCTTGGGATTGGTGAGAAGATATCGAGCAGAGGGCGCTAACCTTGCCCTGACTTGACACAGGAGGGAGCCCTGAGCAGTTGGGTGTGGCCCACACTCCCCTTCTCAAATAAATGAAATGACATTTAAGATAATAAAATAGGGTCTGCAGAGGGACTGGAATGATAGTACAGCGGGTAGGGCGTTTGCCTTGCACGCGGCCGACCCTGGTTCGACCCCTGGCATCCCATATGGTCCCCCAAGCACTGCCAGGAGTAACTCCTGAGCATTGCTGGGTGTGACCCAAAAAAGCAAAAAAAAAAAAAAAAAAAGGATTTGCAGAGACAGTACAGTGGGAAGGTGCTGCCTTGCACATGGACCATCCAGGTTTGAGCCCCCACATCCCATAGAGTCTCCGGAGCTCTTCCAGGAGTGATTCTGGGAGTCACCCATGTGCATTGCCAGCTAGGTCCCAAAATGAAACAAGCAAAGCAAAAAAAAAAAAAATGAAAGTTGGACTCATACAAAATAAAGCCGGGACTGGGGAGATACTCCAGCATGTCGGGGCTCACCTGTGCCCTACACACACTTAAGCGTTCTGACTGCTGCCTCCCATACAATTCCCTGAGCACTGCCAGGAGGAACTCTGAGCATCACCAGGTGTGGCCCCAAACAAAAACAAACAAACAAAAAAATGAAGTTGAGGGTCTGGCTAAGCACAGCCTTTGCAAAGTGCTGAATAGGGTGCAATTCACCATACCCATGACCCCTTGAGCACTGCCAGAGGTTATCACTCAGCACAGAGCCAGAAAAAATGCTGAGTATGGCCCCGAAACAATACCAAAAAGCAAAACACACAAGTAAGTGTGGTAACAGAAGTAAATTTACTTTGTATATTTTGGGGGTCACACTCAGCAATGCACAGGGCTTAACCCTGGCTCGGGGCTGAGGAAATACTCTTGGCTATTCATCAGGACTATGTTGGATGCAGGGGATCGAAGCTGGGCCGGCCGCATGGAAGGGAAATGCCATACTTGCTAATACTATTGCTCCAGCTGAAGTAAATTTATTTAGTAAAGGAAGAAACCATTTAGAGAAACCTGAGTGATGGTACAGCACATAGGGTTATTGGATGCATTTGGTCGAACCAAGTTTGATACTGGGTATTCAATATGGTCCTCCATGGCCACCAAGAGTGATTCCTGAGTGTGTAGAGTCAGGAGAAACCGAGTATCAACAGTATTTGTCTCCACAAAAAAAAAAAAAAAGAAAAGAAAAAGAAAAGGAAATGGAAGAACTAGAGAAACGAAAGAAGTAGAGAAACAGCTTATCTGCATGGCTGTCAAACCTCTTGGCCTACCAGAATCAAGTCCCCTGTAGAAGACACAGCCCCCACCTAGCCCCTGGAAGCAAACACGGGTCTGTCCCAGGCGGGGCAGTAGCCCTGGCGGCTCTCACCAACGGCCCGCAGGTGCTGGTAGGTCTCCAGCATCACGTCCCTGTAGAGCTTCCTCTGAGAGGCATCCAGGCACGTCCACTCCTCTGCGGTGAAGTTCACGGCCACGTCAAGGAAGGTCACTGTGTCCTGAAACAACATACACAGGGGACCGGAGTGAGGCCATCCCACACCATACTAAGGGGTGTGAGGATGAGACACCCCAGCACCCTAGAGGAGCTCAGGGCCTTTCCCCCCTCCCCACTCCCGTTGGGAGGAACCAGCCTCGACCCACATTTCAGGCTGATGAGCCCAGGAATCCCTCACAGAAAGCCAGATCTGATTCAATGACACTAGATTAGAAGGTTCCTGTAGGTTTTGGACTTGCACGCAGCCACCCCAGGGATAAATCCAATGAGCACTACAGAGGGTAACACCTGAGCAGACCCAGCAGGACCAAGAAAAGCAACACTAGGTTGGACCAAAACACTAGATAACCGCTCTCCACCAATGCCATATCCCACATTGCCTGTTTTATGATCTAGGGATAAGAAGGACACACAGGGGGCCAGAACGATAGCACAGCGGGTAGGGTGTTTGCCTTGCATGCAGCCGACCCGGGTTCGATCCCTGGTATCCCATATGGTCCCCCAAGCACTGCCAGGAGTAATTCCTGAGTGCAAAGCCAGGAGTAACCCCTGAGTATTGCTGGGTGTGACCCAAAAAGCAAAAAAAAAAAAAAAAAAGAAGGGGACACACAATGTCCAGTGAGTGACTCAAAGCTGTGCGAGGACATATGTGCCTGTAGGACTCGGAACTCCTGTGTCAGGGTCACCCTAAATCCTTCCTGAGGCAGGTAAAGGTGACTTGACCCTGAATACCTCTGCCAGCCCCCAAGATCCTTTGCTCCCAGGGACAGACGCCCAGAACTGTGCAAACAGCAGCAAATGAACGTGAGACTGTGTGACTTAGCAGGCGACACTCTCCAGAGCAGGAAGGACAAAATAGGGGAAACATATGTTCTGGGGCCAGAGTCACTGTAGTTGCCAGAGTGCAATGCAGGGCCTGCACACCCTGGGTCATTGACGGGCATCAGGGGTGAAACCAGAGCACAGATCCATGAGAATCTCCACTGTGGCACAAAAACAAATATGAAAGAAAACAAAGCAGGGGCTGGAGCGATAGCACAGCGGGTAGGGCGTTTGCCTTGCACACAGCCAACATGACCAACCCAGGTTCGATTCCCAGCATCCCATCTGGTCCCCCGAGCACCGCCAGGAGTAATTCCTGAGTGCAAGAGCCAGGAGGAATCCCTGAGCATCGCCGGGTGTGACCCAAAAATAAAAAAAGAAAAAAAAGAAAAAAAAGAAAAGAAAACAAAGCAGGATGGAGTAACAGGGACCAGATCCAGGGACTGTGGGTAGGGGCTGGCGGTCCCTGCTGTCCATATGGTCCACCAAGCACTCTGAGGTGCAATGCTGGAGTGCAGAGCCGAGCCATAAATAATCCCAAGAATCACGGGGTGTGGCCCCCCCCATCACCTCCCAAAACAAACAAACAAAAAAACAATAAGTTAGCCTTGGGGGCTGGAGTGATAGCACAGCGGGGAGGGTGTTTGCCTTGCACATGGTTGACCCAGGTTCGATCCCCAGCATCCCATAGGGTCCCCTGAGCACTGCCAGGAGTGATTCCTGAGTGCAAAGCCAGGAGTAACTCCTGTGCATTCATTGCTGGGTATGACCCAAAATGCAAAAATTTAAAAAAAAGAAGTTCACCTTGGATCACTAGCACCCCCCACAAGATCCTTGAGTCTGAACAAGGAGTGATCCTTGAGCACAGAGTTGGGAGTACTTCTTGAGTACCACCAATCCAAATATAACAAAACAAAGAGGGACAAAAGTTGCCTTACAAAAGACAGCAGTAAGTCACTCCTACCAGGAACCCTATCCCAGGGCTCCCTTCTAAAACAGCTCGAGACAGATGGGCCTGGAAGCCTGTGCACTCCTGTCACTGCATCATGTCATCCTGTCACTCTCCACCTACCTGGGGACAGTGAGTCAGATAGCGTGTCACCATCTTCCCGTCTCTAATTCCTGAGGATCTGAAGGGAGTTCCGTGCAAAGACCTGGAGAAGAAGTCAGAGCCGTGAGCACGAGAGGAGAGCACAACTTCCCAACCCTGACCAGAATTCCCAGCACTGGAGCTGGAAATGCTCTGACCGGCGGAAATGACCTGGCACTAGATCCCTGACCCGCCTGAGGAAGACACTGCCAGCAGCTCCTTCCTCTCCTGCAGTTGCAATGTGGGTTGGGATCTGGGCTGTCTGACCAGACCCGAGTGTTGGGCAGGGGCTGTAGGAGAGAAAACTGAGCCCTGGGACTCTTCCCTGAACCCTACAGGAAGGTCCCTATAGGCTTGGCCAGGGGCTGACTCTGAGCCCAGGTGCATAAGTGCATCAGTGCCCCCTGCAGATCGAACCAGGGCTGCCCCCACTCCCACCTCCTCAACAAAGCCCTGAAAGTGGTTCTGCCATCATGGAGGCAGGTCCAAGGAACTGAGCATGGACAAACCTGCAGTCACCCTCTGGCAGGGTGGACAAGGACACACGCATGGGAGCTCTCTCCTGGAGACCAGGGTCACTTCTGGGTCCAGGTAAGCCCAGGGTACAGCTCCAGGTCTGTCAAGCTATCCTCTGGCTCTCCTGGGTCCTGATATACTCTAATCCCCAATCAGCATATTTGTATGAGTCTCATCCGGCACTCGCTCCTGTCTTGCAGGAATATATTTGAAAACTGTGCAAACGGTGTGTTTATAGGATAATTACCCTATATCTGGCTGTTTACTAAGGACCATGATAGGAACTGTTTCTATTATTTAAAAGGCCCTCCCGTTGTTCGTCGATTTGCTCGAGACTTTGGAGACTTTGTTGTTACTGTGTCTGGCATATCGAATACGTCACGGGGAGCTTGCCAGGCTCTGCCGTGCGGGCGAGATACTCTCGGGAGCTTGCCGGGCTCTCCGAGAGGGGCGGAGGAATCGAACTCGGGTCGGCCATGTCGGCTGCGTGCAAGGCAAACGCCCTACCGCTGTGTTATCTCTCCACTATAAATATTCTATTGGGGCTGGAGCAATAGCACAGCGGGTAGGGCGTTTGCCTTGCACGCGGCTGACCCGGGTTCGATTCCCAGCATCCCATATGGTCTCCTGGGACCTGCCAGGAGTAACTCCTGAGTGCAGAGCCAGGAGTAACCCCTGTGCATCGCCAGGTGTGACCCAAAAAGCAAAAAAAAAAAAAAAAAAAAAAAGTTAAAAAAGTAAAAAAAAGTTTAAAAAAGTAAAAAAACAAAGTCAAAAATCTTGTGCACACCACCGACCCGGGTTCGATTCCCAGCATCCCATATGGTCCCCTGAGCACCGCCAGGAGTAACTCCTGAGTTCAGAGCCAGGAGTAACCCCTGTGCATCGCCAGGTGTGACCCAAAAAGCAAAAAAAAAAAAAAATTCTATTCTGGGGGACAGAGTGATAGTACAGCACGTATTATCAGCTTACCCAAGACCAAGAGCCGGGCAAACCTTATGGTTCCCTGACCCTGGCAGCAGTGATTCCTGAGTTCAGAGTGAGGAGTAAGGCCTGAGCACTGTAGGGTGTGACCCAGAAGTACAGCAACAACAAAAGGAAAACCAACCAAACAGGGAAAAAAATAAAGAGGAAAAAAACTTCAAGTGCAAAGACAAATTCTCACGTGAAACATTTAAAGAGTCAAATAGTGGGTCCTTAAAACCCTGTTTAATAGCTTTTTCTATGCTGCAGAAGCCTATGGTTTCTCCTGAATCCTTATTCTTCTCTGTCTCTGTGCTCATATATTTCGTGTGTGTGTGTGTGTGTGTGTGTGTGTGCGTGTGTGTGTGTGTTGGGCCAGAAGCGGCAGTGCTCAGGAGTGATTCCGAGTTCTGCACTAAGGAATCAGTCTTGGCAGGTTTGAGGAATCCTGAGATGCAGTGGCTCAGACTTTGGCTGGCAGCTGTAAGGCAAGCACCCTAGTCTCTGTACTATGACTCTGGCCTTTGCTAAGTAAAATCTCCCCCAGCACCCTAGAAGTGATCCCTGAGTAAAGCTCCCGATCTCCACAAAACACTACCTTCTTTCAAAAATTCAACCCAGAGGGGCTGGAGAGATAGCACAGCGGGTAGGGCGTTTGCCTTGCACGCGGCAGACCCGGGTTCAATTCCCAGCATCCCATATGGTCCCCTGAGCACCGCCAGGAGTAACTCCTGAGTGCAGAGCCAGGAGTTACCCCTGTGCATCGCCGGGTGTGACCCAAAAAGCAAAAAAAAATTCAACCCAGAAAAGCAAAACTACCCACTTTACTCACCCAATGGCCAGTAGCTGGGGGTCCTCTGGTCAGGGAGAGATGAAGAGTGAGGGAGTAGAAATTCCTCGCTTGAAAAAAAAAAAAACACCAAATGTTGGGGGAAAAACAGAGTTAAGCAGGTAGGATGCTTGGCTTAGTGACCCCGGCCAATCTTCCACATCGGATCAGACCCTCCCCCAGAGCACCGAGCGCAGAGCCAGGAGTGAAACTTGAGCATCTCGGGGTGGACCACCTCCGAGAAAAAAAATAAATAAACAACCGACCAAAAAAAAAAAAAAAACAGGATAAAACGTAAAATTTCATTGGCAAACCCCAGCCACTTGGGGGAGACACGCCCTGCACGGCCCCGCAGTTTACAGCAAAAGAGGACAAAACCTGACCTCTTGCCAGTGGGGGCAGAGGCGATGCCCCTCAAAGGGAATCTGGAGGTTCTGCGTGTCGGGACCAAAGGGTCCAGGTAAGGGCCCAGCGCGGTCCCGTGTAGGGAGGGTCGGGATGGCCAAGGCCCCGCCTCCGGCAGCCCCTTCCTGAGCCCACCCGCCAGCTGCCCCATCGCGGAGCTGGAGGCGATCGCGGCCGCAGGGAGACCCCAGGATCATGCACTCACACCGGAGACCCCTGAGCATCCCCCCAAAAAACTCTCTGCCGCCAAGGAACCGCCTGGATATGGGGCAACAAGTGGAAAACAAGCTCAAAAGCGCTCCCGAGGGGGCTGGAGCGATAGCACAGCGGGGAGGGCGTTTGCCTTGCACGCGGCCGACCCGGGTTCGAGTCCCAGCATCCCAGAGGGTCCCCTGAGCACCGCCAGGAGTAACTCCTGAGTGCAGAGCCAGGAGGAACCCCTGTGCAACTGCCAGGTGTGGCCCAAAAAGCAAAAAAAAATATAATAATAATAATAAAAATAAAAGCGTCCCCGAAGCTGCTGGCGCTGCCCTGCAGCTCACAGTGCAGGGACACGAGGAGCAGTGGGGGAGGGTGCGGGGTAGGGGGGCTGCCCTCGTCCTGCGTCAGAATCGGCCTTCGGAGCCCCCCTTCCACTCCAATACGCCACCGGGTCCTCTAACCACGTGACAAACAAACTGTGGCCAGACTGAAGGGACTGGAAAGGCCCCGTCTGTGACGTCAGCTCCACGTCTCCAGCAGCCTTTAAAGGGCCAGGCTGCCGGGCGCGGCGCGAGCCTTTGGAAAACTCAGGTGAGGGGCTGGAGCGATGGCACAGCGGGGAGGGCGTTGGCATTGCAGTCGAACCCAGGTTCGATTCCCAGCATCCCATACGGTCCCCCCCCCCCCCCAGCACCGCATGAACCATGCATGAGTGCATGAACCAGGAGTAACTCCTGGGCATTGCTGGGTGTGACCCAAAAAGAAAAAAAAACAAAACCAGGCAGGTAGGGAGCGGGTGGGGTACTGGACAATGAGTTTCTCAGGGAAGTAATAAATCAAGGTGGGCATGAAAGCAGTGACTCCAAGGCCAGCCCTGCAGAGGAACTGGAACAATTCAGAGAACAGACACCAGAGAGGCAGAGAGAAACTGAAACAGGAGTAAAAAGCTGCTAGGATACCTGAGTCTTGGCCGTTGAGGGTGGCTGGTCCTGGAGGTCTTCGGTTGCCGGAGCCCTGGTCGGGGCAGGGAGGAAAGCTCAACCCGCTCCCCTCCAAGGGGCTCTGGTGAGGCAGCCAGGCGCGAGGGCAGGAGACTGCACTCTTCTCTTCCCTCCAAGCGCGGGGGCAGGAGACTGCACTGTTCTCTTCTGGAGCTGGATTTTATAGTCTCTGAGTCTTGGCCGTTGATGGGATTACACGGCGGCGCCAGGGGGCCAGTTGGTGGGTGTGACCCCCGCCTACTGGAATGTGGAGGATCTGGGTGGAGGATGCTCAGCCCTAATCCGAGTAGGCTTGGAGATCTCGGCCCCGGAACCTGCGTGGCTTTGTCCCTCTGCCAGTACCTTCATGCGTGTGGAGAGTGGTCTCAGCACGGTGGTAGCTGGTCCTGGAGGTCTTCGGCTGCTGGAGCCCTGGTCGGGGCGGGGAGGAAAGCTCAACCCGCTCTCCTCCAAGGGGCCCTGGCAAGGGCAGCCAGGCGCGGGGGCAGGAGACTGCACTCTTCTCTTCCGGGAGCTGGTTTTTATAGTCTCTGAATCTTGGCCGTTGATGGGATTACACGGCGCCAGGGAGCCAGTTGGTGGGTGTGACCCCCGCCTACTGGAATTTGGAGGATCTGGGTGGAGGATGCTCGGCCCCAATCTGAGTAGGCTTGGAGATCACGGCCAAGACTCAGAGACTATAAAAACCAGTTCCCGGAAGAGAACAGTGCAGTCTCCCGCCCCCGTGCCTGGCTGTCCTCGCCGGGCGGGTTGAGCTTTCCTCCCCGCCCCGACCAGGGCTCCGCCAGCCGAAGACCTCCAGGACCAGCTACCACCGTGCTGAGACCACTCTCCACACGCATGAAGATACTGGCAGAGGGACAAAGCCACGCAGGTTCCGGGGCCTGAGCATCCTCCACCCAGATCCTCCAAATTCCAGTAGGCGGGGGTCACACCCACCAACTGGCCCCCTGGCGCCGTATAATCCCATCAACGGCCAAGACTCAGAGACTATAAAAACCAGCTCCTGGACATCTTATTATCTCATTCCTACTTTGAACAAACTGGCAGGCTACCAAATGTAGCCTGCCCACACGGCAGAGTCTGGCAAACTCCCCGTG